CTGTCACCAACATGTTGTAAATAAAATCTATATAGTCTTTAAGCTGTGAAATCTAGGTAGAAAAGTTTCATTTTTGACCTTTCATCTAGTTTAAAAAATTCAGTATAAAAAAAAAAAAATTCTCCTCTGAAATTTAAACAGTCCACAAAAGTTTTACCTTCTTTTCTTACACACTTTTATGACAGTAAAGATCTTTCAAAGTTTTTAGCTCTTCAATTAGAGTTTTGTTCTGGTTTTCCAGGACCGCAACTCGATTCTCCAGACATTTAACGTACTCTTTCTTCTTCCGACGGCACTCTCGAGCAGCCTCTCTGGAACAGAAAGGCAGAAGTAATTGTTTGTTTCAGACGTCAGATTTCTCTGGCTTAGGAGGGTTTCGATACCGACCGATACGGCAGAGCTGGCACTGCAACCGTGACCAAAACCACCCGAGAAGCACGCAAGGACAGGCGGAGAGCGTGACGTTTAGCAGTGCTTGGTCACACACACGGCAGCCCATCTGCGGGGAAAACCCAGTTTGTTTTCTCCCAGCTGTGTGAGACAACACACCGCCTGTTTGGGTCAGAATTCCCAGTGTTTTAGGTGCTGGATGCAGCGTACCACAGTGACGGCGCAAGCGGTAACCTCAGCTTGCAAGGCTCATAGTTGTCCTTTGAAGACGTTATTTCATCTACATATTTCAACTAACAAACGAAAGCAGCCCACGGGCGCTCACGTACCTGTTCTTCATCAGCCTTATTTCTCGTTTCAACTGCGGATCATCCGTCTTACTTGTCTGTGACGTCAGAGTGACGGGAGACGTCATCACCACGGTCTGAGGAAGGGACGTGGTGGTCGGCGTGGTGCGGATCTGGTAAGTCTGCATGTCTCCCGACGCAGCTGTTGCCGTAATAGCACAAGACACCAAAACGCGGCAGCGTTAGAAAGCTACGCTCGCGCTAGCGATGGGGAATTCCCAAGCGTTTCCAGAAGGCGTACTCACTCTGCACAACCACCTGGTTGCTGGGGACGAGGATCTGCTGGCCGTCTGACGTCTGTGCGTACTGCAGGATCGTCGTCCCAGGCTGAGTGCTCCCAGCGTTCGCCATCGTTAGCGTCTGCAGGCCTTGCACGCCATCCGCTCCCGGGCTGGCCAGCTGTAACCCGTTCGCAGCAATGGCAACTGAAAGAAAAAGGAACGCGCACAACACGACCTGTAGCTGTACGTTAGAACATCCAGCTAAAGGCACATCTGCAGGCTGCACGTCTGCCTCCGCTGCTGAAAAACACTGCTAGTTTTGAAAGGCTTTCTTTTTCCCCGTGACTTTCAACTATCCGGTCTCGCTGCTGGGTTCTCGCTACACGTACTGGGTGTACGCGGCGAGGTGTCGGTAGCGGGGGGAGCTCCGGGACTGCCCCATGCCAGACACCAGCTCCACGTGGACCCGCGCTGGCCGCAGCTGGTGGCTCCTCTGCTGGAACGTGCTTGAGAAAGGGTGAAAATCCAGACAGGCAATGGAGCGAGGGGCGGGAGGAAGGGAGAAACACCAGTTCTAAAGGCCCAGCTCAGAGAAGAAGGATGGAGAGGAGGTGCTCCAGGTTGCGTTTTGGTTCACAAACACAGCGAATACCAGGTGATAAAACCAAAGGAACACATCCTTTTTTTTTTTTTTTTTTGTCCTTTCTCCCTCCTTGACACCCCAGGAACACCTTTTGGTGTGGCCCCGTGGTACGTATCACGGTATCTTCCCTGATCTTACGTTCTGGACTAAATCTAACACTAGAAGACTGCTGTGTATTTCATAACAACAGAACAACAGCCTTTGAATGTCTTGCCTTCATATGCGAAAATTAAGACAACAAAGCATTGATTTTACCTGGAATGTTCAGACATCAGGCCATTTCCATGTAATAAGAGTACTAACTATTAACTGTTGGGTAAATAACCAAACCTTTTGAGCTTCACCTTAGTCAAATATGTAACAAAAAGAAAATCTGTGTTTTGAGGCAAGCTGAATAAAAAATGTGTCCACTTGGGCACATATTTGGCATAACGTACTGTACTGTCCGGTGCTCGTCTGGTAGATGGGCGTGGGAACGGACATCGACGTAACAGTGGAGACACCAGGAGTCTCCTCATCTCCTTTTCTATCGCGGGTATCTTCAGAAGAAAGATCTTTCAAAATTTTTCTGTAAAAAAAGAAAAAGAGTTCCTTTATCAGCTCTAATTGTAGGCAAAACCTAGGAATTACTGCAACAGCGGTTACAAACTCCTATCCCTATTTTGTACGGCAGAAATAAACACATTCTGATGTCCAACAGCTTTTGGAACTAACAAAATTTTGCACGAGGTGACTGCCTCAAACTCTTTCTGCAATTACATTTCTGCAGTTTATATCATCTAGTTTTTTAGTTAAATATCTGAATTATTTTACGAGCTAAGAGCAATTCAAGTCAGCTTTATAAAGTACGTGTATGTGCAAATCAGCACGAATTCCAGATTTTCCACCATTATCCTATAAAAGCCTCAGATGTTCGGACTGGCAAACCGGCAACGACAACCTGCACCACTGACAGCAGCTTCCAGTAACCTCCAGAAAAATGGCTGTCCTGGTTTCGGCTGGGACAGAGTTAATTATCAGAAGGAGCTGACCCAAACCTGCCAAACGGGATACTCCATACCACGTACGACGTCACGGTCCCTATATAACGGGGGCAGCCGGCCGGGGCGGGAAATCGCTGCTCGGGAGCCGGCCGGGCATCGGGTGGCAAGCGAAACTGCCCTGTGCATCCCGCACTTCGTACATTCTTTTCACCAATATTATTGTTGTTATTTCCCTCTTCCTTTGCTGTTCTCTCAAACTGTCTTTATCCCAACGCACGAGTTTAGCCTTTTTCTTCTGATTCTCCTCCCCATCCCACTGAGGGGGGAGGAGGAGCGAGTGAGTGAGCGGCCGCGTGGCCCGGCTGGGGCTGAACCACGACAACGGTGTGCCCAAAACTGGCACTGCAGCTGCGTCGGTTCAGTGCAGTTAAAGCTGCATCAGGTTCCACCACAGACATTTTCCAGGGATATATAACTGCCCTATTAAGAGATATTTCTGATTTACAACTCGATCCTCTCATTCTCTCAAGAATAGGCTTTGTATATGCAATTAAAACCAGTTTGCTCTGGCTAGTGTTAGAATAAACTAAAAAGGAGTAGATTACTACAAAAAAGTTTAAAAATTACATTTTTTGCTCTTTCGGTACCCAGTAAGACTTTACATTTCTTTTCTGCATTTCTCTGGCACAGCGTCTCAAACAACACCCGATGAGAACAGACACATGCCTATTTCACAGAAGACCCAGTGGAAGCACGAATTTTACACATCTTACCCCAGCCCAAACCAGGAATTAGCGGCAGTTACACGAAGAGAAAAGCAGAACCGACAACTCCTGATCCCAAACCCGCACGGCTGAACAGCCCTCCCATGGAATCTCTGCTTACAGCTCGCATTTTCCTACCCTGGCTAGTCTAACTGCCGACTCAGAACTGCTCTTTTCCACCACTGTTTTTGACTGCATGCAAAATAATAAAATCCCTCCTAAATTATTTGTTCTGGTACATAATCCAAGATGAGATAAAGCCGTCAGAAAGGATGAAGAGGAGTGGATAAAAGATTCAAAAAATGAGAAGCGTGGAGGAAGCAGGAACAGCAATCACCGACTGCAGCATCCTGTAGGTTCATAAACTGTCTTTTAAAATTTTCAGAATATTCTTGCAAAAAATACTGAACGTTGTGTGAAGTTTCTAACAAATTCTGTATTTGCAAAGCTAGGATGTGGCATTTGGCTACACACCCCATTTCAGTGAAATGATGCAACAGAGCAGAATTATGGCTGATAAACAATTTTCCCTATGCCCCATCGTGCTGAAGTTCACCTCCAGTTAATTAAGCCCAAGTTTCCCTGCAGCAAATGACAGCTAACGTGGCATCCTCAAAATGTTTAGTGCGTGAACAGATGCAATGCATGCTTCAAGAGAAAGAAAACAACTTCAAGGTTGACAGACTATATGAAGCTATTGAAAGAAGCTGCTATTTTTGTTCCAAATAAAAATACAAAATACATTACATGTGGTACTTACCGGTACGATGGACGACGAGCTAAGATGCCTCGAGCTTTCTGTGAAGAGCCTATGCTATCTGATGAATCCTGAGAATCCTCACTCTCGGACAAAGAAGATACCTAAAAAACACGATCCACGTTGTTACCCGCTACACTTTGGAAGCAACACCCAGCAGAGGTGACACATTTTAATTGTCTGTGAGCTAATGCTGCATGAAAACTACACAAATGCAGCTAATTATAAAGAGAAAGAAAACATGGTGGACTTCTAGTTCCAGTGCTACCTACTACTTCTAGCAATTATCAAAGACTGTTACGTTAGTGAGGTCACCATGAAACAGACCCCCCTGGCCCCAAAAAAAAGACAGCTCAAGAGATTCTTCCAAGCTGTTTATCAAATTAAAAGCTGACAATGCCCACCATCTGAAGCCAGCTGTTCTAGCTAGATTAAAGTGCAGGATTAATCAATCCAGAGTGTTTAAAAGAGCAGTGTGAAGAAATACAAATGGTTTATTATCTTCATAAAAATCGTAGAAGCTCAACTATCTTCACAACTGCTGTGGTCTGAAGAGGTGAGCCACTCCCACACATAAATCTGCCTATGGAGCTGGTGGGAAAGGAAGTGGGAACACCATTTACGGACATATAAAATACTTGAGATCTTTTAGGCAGACAGAAGAGCAATGTACTTTGTTGGGCAGAATGTAAGAGCCAAATGAAAATAATATTTAAGGCAGCAGCGTATCAGGGAGCAAATAAGCAAAGTATTCTCTATAATTTTCTCTTTATTACACTGTGTCCACATCCAGCTGGCAAGTGTCCTTTTTTTCTCTGCTGCTCCTTATGAAATAGAAGCTAACAAAACATTTATTTGTACTTATCTGGTTGCCAGCAACAAAACGTCAAGAAGAATGCATGCAGCCCTGGGAAAAGCATTTCTCACTTAACTGCTGCTACAGGGAAAAAAAGGGCAACCTCCTATCAATGTTTACGAAAAAAGCTGCTCATGTATCGCTTTTTTTTCCCCCTTTGAGCAACAAGGCCACAATGTTCATAAACTACAAGAAAAAAAAAAAAAAAAAAGAAAGAATATGGTCAGTGGGGACGCTGCACCTAGAACAGGATGATCAGCGGATCAGATAATGACACCCTACTAAACCAGACGCTCCACTGTTTTCAGCAGAGAAATGTGTTTTCTCTTCCATGATCTGATGTCACAGGAACAACGACAGCTGAACACGCATGCTAGGTTTACTTTTCACGGCGTATCAGTTTAATGTCATATGAACAGATAAGCACAGTACGAAGGATCAGTGACAAACGCTTTTCAGCACAGTTGTTCCAGGCGTTCGGATGACGAGCGCGGTTGTTTCACAGCCGTGCTGCCCAGAGGGCAGCCGAGAACTGAATGAAGCAGTCCCAGACTCGACTGCGAACTCCCCGAGGCACCTCTCTGAAGTGGCTTGTACAGAAATCACATGGCACACGAGTAAGAGACAAGCAGAATACCAAGGTACCGCAGAAATGGAGCGACAGCGCACACGAGGGGAGCAGCCAGCAGCTCATCCACCATCGTTCGGCTCTACGCCTTCCAAGCACACCTTCTCCTTCACTGGGTTATTCTATGCTCTCCTTCTTTGGGTACTGAAACACACTGACTGCACGTCTGTTAAGAGCAGCAACTAAAGAGTTGTGGAGTTTTTTTAGGTTTTTTTTATAAAGCGAGTATAGTTTAATTTCAACTCCAAAGGTAACTTTAGCACTACAAATAATTTCAGTGTTAAGAATGATGTATCCCCAAAACACTGTCACTGGATCGCTCGCTATCTCTTACAGCAGGGCTGGAAAGATTCCACTGCGGTGGAGTTGGCCGACTCAAACAAGCCTTTACAAGCTTCTTCATCTACATAAACCAGGATTCTCGGCTGTTTAACAGACGCTGTGTAGTTACCTGCACGGTTTGCACCTGGGGTGAGTGGATGACAGAAGAGGACTGAGCTGTCTGAATGACTCCCTGGACCTGGACTTGCTCTCCAGGAAGCTGAACGACCGTCAGGGGAGCAGGACCTCTTAGAGACATCTACAACAAAGCAAAGAACCGGTAACAAAAGCGCTTGTTCTACAGTATTCAGAAAGTGTACACACGTGTGGGAAAACTCGGAGAGAACACGCATTAGCAGCAGCTTCTTTCAGTCTAATTAAGTCACAGAAGGTAGCCTGTAAAGATGCATACTTTTGAGATACATAGTCACATATGAAAAAGGCTGAAACCGTTACTTATTTGACTCTGGCTAGGGGGAAAATCAATTATGTAGCACTATGTGCAAAAGATTAAAATGCTGCAACTCAAATACGTGCAGTTCTACAGGAACCACAACGAAGCAGACAGCTTCCGTGTCGCAACGCTGAGACGACACGAGCGTGATTAATTCCATGGAACTCCATCCACGCGCACAGACAAAGCCCAACATTTGTGGCAGCTCAGTTTTCAAAATTTTGATTCCATTTTCAGAGTGCCTTAGACTTAGATAAGCAGAAATAAAAGTGCCTAACAGGTAGCCTTAAACCTCACTAAAGTTACCAGGGGTTTAAGGCACCAAAATCTAAATCCAGATGAAATGACCAACGAGCCCGAGGGCTCAGGACAGATCAGCCGAACAAGACCGAAGTCACGCAGAAGGCAGCACGAACAATGCATGTTTGGTGTTCTTGGATTCTTTTTTTGTTAAGCAACCAGTATGAGGCTATGGTGCAAAGAAGAAATCACAAGAGTTAAGTATAGAAAAAGCTGACCAATCTACTTCAAAAGTTCAAGGCACAACGGCTGTAACTCAGGGAAAGTGAAAGAAAACTGAAGGAGACAAGGTCTGCAAGCTCTGGACAGGGAAGAGGAGCAAGGAGCAGATTTTTCCAAATAAAAATCACGGTATCTGTTCTTTACTGTTTTAAAACTATCAATTTCAATAAATGTTGTAGCTAAAATCTAGGTTTATTTGGCAAAAAGTTAATTACTACTGCTACCCTTACAGAAAATACTTTTTATATTCTAGCAGGTATGTATTTTTGATATGTATTTTTTATGAGCCTTTGCACTTAACGATTGAAGTTATACATCTAGATGCATAAGTAAATAACCAGTTTCCTCACCAAATTTCTTCACTACTTTTATTAATCTGGAATTTACGAAGAGCTGAAGGGATCATTAAAACTCATACAGCTAACTTTTCATTTAACGCTACTTCTGTACCGTACGTCATAAATGTTGTTAAACTGGCGACCTGATAGGAAAACAGATCAGAAGACCAGCGCGTAACCAGCCAGCAGCATGCTCGCCGGTGTTCTGTCCTGCCTTCGCCTCACGCAGTTATCTACACTCTGCATCAAAACCTACATCGCCTCCGAAGGGTAAACCGGGGACGAGCTGCAAAAGGTCGCCGCTTCACGGGGCGGCTGCGGGGCTGCGGGAGCAGACCTCGCCTGGCGGGAGTCGCTCTTTCAGACGCAGTAAGTTCAATTCAGAATCAAACTCTGAAAGTGATGTTACCTCGTAGTAAGCATGTCAAATTTCCAACTTCATGTGATTTATTACATTAAAAACGTTCACGCTGGGCTAAAATCCAAGTGTTTCCATGGTGCTGAGCACCCAAGATTTCCCTCACTACTAAAGGAGACATTAATGCTT